GAAAAAAAAATGGGGGGGATTTTTTTTTTTTTTTTTTTTTTTTTGATACCGGGGATTGAACTCAGGTCTTTGCACTTGTGAGACAGGTGCCAGAACCACTGAGCTAAATCCCTGGCCCATGGGGGATTTTTTTTTTTTTTTTCCAGGGCTGGGGTTGAACCCAGGGCCTTGAGCATGCTAAGCCCATGTTCCACCTCTGAGCTATATCCCCGATCCCATGTATACATTTTTAAATTTCTCTCTCTCTCTTTTTTTTTGGTGTGAGAAAGGGCCAGATGATCATTATTGTGGGGAACACACACTGATACAGTCATCCCTGAAAGTGAATTGAGGAACTCTAGACTACAGAATATATTTTAGAAACACATTCTTAGCTAGGCATGGTGGCGTATGCCTGTAATCCCAGCACTTGGGAGGCTGAGGTAGGAGGATCACCAAAGTTCAAGGCCAGCCTGAGCTACCCACTGTGTTCAAGGTCAGCCTGAATTACATAGTGAGATCCTGTCTCACTTACAAATGGGAACTAAAGTTCCAGCAGAGGGGTTAGAGGATCATTGAGTGGCAGAGCTGTAGTGTGAGCCCAACCTGGGTGGCTGCAGGATTCTTTCCTATGCTGCCAGGTCCTGCTAGGAATTGAGCACCTCAGCTGGGGAAGGTATGTTGTAAGTATGTTTTATATACACATTATATGTCTATAGTGTGTGTGTGTGTGTGTGTGTGTGTGTGTGTGTGTAAAATATCGACTTCAGTATTATACATAATAATATAAATAAGTGACCTGGGGCACAGTATACAGCTGTGCTCTGCATTTTCTACCTTTTTGGTACTTGTTTTCACAGAATCTTGCTCGCTGTCCTCATCAGCTTCTGCTTACACCCAGACAGCCTTGAGGAGCCTGTAGATTTAAAACATGAGCTCCACCGACTCAGCAGACACCACTGTGGATGAAGCGATCTATAGCAATTACTATCAGTATGAAAACCTCCCCACGCCTTGCACCAAAGAAGGCATCAAGGCTTTTGGGGAGCTCTTCCTGCCCCCTCTTTACTCCTTGGTCTTTCTGTTTGGTCTGCTTGGAAACTGCGTGGTGGTTCTTGTCCTGTTCAAGTACAAGCGGCTCAAGTCCATGACTGATGTGTACCTGCTCAACCTGGCCATCTCAGATCTGCTCTTTGTGTTCTCACTGCCGTTCTGGGGCTACTACTCTGCAGACCAGTGGGTCTTTGGGCTGGGTCTATGCAAGATGATTTCATGGATATACCTGGTGGGCTTTTACAGCGGCATCTTCTTCATCATGCTCATGAGCATTGACAGGTACCTGGCGATTGTGCACGCGGTGTTTTCTATGAGGGTGAGAACCTTGACCTATGGGGTTATCACCAGCTTGGCTACGTGGGCAGTGGCAGTATTCGCTTCCCTTCCTGGCCTTCTGTTCAGCACTTGTTACACCGAGCGTAACCATACCTACTGCAAAACCAAGTACTCTGCAAACTCTACCACATGGAAGGTTCTGAGCTCTCTGGAGATCAATATTCTAGGACTGGTGATCCCCTTGGGAATCATGCTGTTTTGCTACTCCATGATCATCAGGACCTTGCAGCACTGTAAAAATGAGAAGAAGAACAAAGCGGTGAAGATGATCTTTGCTGTGGTGGTCCTCTTCCTGGGGTTCTGGACACCTTACAATGTTGTGCTCTTCCTGGACACCCTGGTGGAGCTAGACATTCTTCAAGACTGCACCCTTGAAAAATACCTGGACTATGCTATCCAGGCCACAGAAACCCTGGCTTTCATTCACTGCTGCCTTAATCCGATCATCTACTTTTTTCTGGGGGAGAAATTTCGCAAGTATATTATACAGCTCTTCAAAACCTGCAGGGGCCCTTTTATGCCCTGCCAGTACTGTGCACTCCTCCAGATTTACTCTGCTGACACACCTAGCTCCTCTTACACACAGTCTACTATGGATCATGAGCTCCATGATGGTTTGTAAAACATGAAAACACAAAGCACAAAGTTAAGGAGCTTCCCACATTCAGAGCTTACTGAAATTGTGTTTTAGTAAGAGGTCCCTGAGTAGGTGTTATGAGCAAGGCTAACATGCACAGCCAAATGTGGGCTTCTCACCCTGCAATCAGCTTTTCCTCTTCTGATAGCCAAGGTCAACCCCAAAAGGACTCACCTGGTTTGAGCAGCCTTTGCCCCAGGCCTGCCTGCAAGGAGACGTAAATCTGAAGAGAATGCTGAGTGGTTCCGATGAGGATATAGAAAATACTGAAAGAGAAAGACCATTCCCTCCAACCCTGACTGATGGGGCTCTCCAGAGGGAAACAGACCCTTGAATTTCTAGCTTTTGTCAAACAATGTAGAAAACTTCAACATGCTGTCCTAGTGTTTTACTTATATCTAAAGCATGGCATATTCTGTAAAGCCAGATGTATATAGAAACCATTAGTGAAATAGTGAACCTATATCGATCCTTTTATCGTAAAGGATATTGGAAATCAAACTCAGGACCTTACACTTGCCAGGCAGGTTTAGTGCCACTAAGCTACATCCCCAGTCCTGTAAAGGATTACTTGTTAATTGAAGACAAATTTTATCTGTTGATTACAAGTGTAAGGATATAAAGACATTATCATGGTCTGGTTCCCAAAAATAAAATACAAGGCATTTAAGATCCAAACATATTTGTTGAAACTCAAACAATTTCACTTTCATATATGTGTGTGTGTGTGTGTGTGTGTGTGTGTGTGGTACTAAGGATCAAACTCAGGACCTTGTGCTTGCAAGGCAGGCAGCAGCACCACTGCGCTAAATTCCCAGCCTTGTTTTAATTATTACAGGTGAATATTCAACCCTAAAAATAATACACAGGGAACTAGGAGTATCACTTAGTAGCAGAGCACTTGGCCTGGTGTGTATGAGGTCCTTAGTTTAGTCCCCAGCACCACAAATAATAACACATAGGCTTAGATGGTATTCATCTAGATCTTTTACTTTATAAACACAGCCTTCAAAATTAAAAATAAAGGGCTGGGGATTTAGCTCAGCGGTTTGGTAGCCTGCCTTGCAAGCACAAAGACCTGCGTTCAATCCCTGGTCCGCCCCCCAACAAAAAAAATTAAAAATAAGGCCTGCTAATAAAATACCTCCCTAATTGTTTTGAAGTGCCATCAGGTAAGGGAAGAATAATCAACTAAAAGTTACTGCTGATGTGGCATAAAAATGACTTAAAAATCATGAAATTATAGAAGGATTTGCTTTTCTATTAAAATACTGGCTCTGGGCTGGGGAATTTAGCTCAGTGGTTCTGCTGCCTGCCTCATAAGCCTAAGGACATGACTTCGATCCCCAGTACCAAAAACAAAACAAAACAAAACAAAAAAATACTGGCTCTGTGAGACATACTCCCTCCAAAATTAAAACTCTTGTTAGCTTTTGAGTTAAATGCTTCTGTAAAATTTACATGTTACTGCATGTTTGGTTACAAAGAATGCAATTCTAGAAAATTTACTTTCAGAAAAGTGTTTTTAAGAAAGTTGCTGTTAACCTTCACAGAAAATAAAATGAACTTGTAGTTAGCCCTGCAGAGCCAGCTTTTCTCCTCATCATGTTTGTGTAGAAGAGGCAAAGCTGCTTATCTGTCCATAACGTCACGGATTCACCCAAGGGGAATCAAAGGTTTTGCTGTAACGGTTCACTTGGGGTGGGACAAGGACTCACAGTCATGTCGTAAGCTCCTAGGCAGTGTTTCCTGAGAAAACATCTGGGTGATATCCTGGGATCCTCGAATCCTAGCCTGTGTTCTTTGTGAGCCTGAGCATGTTACTTTGCACTCTTTGCTGCAATTTCCTCATCTGTAAAATGAAATATATTTCAGAGTGATTGAAAGAAATAAATGATTAATGAAAAGTGTCTATTTTCTAGGTCCTAGACAAAGAGGGGCTTCAGAATTGCTCAACTAGAGCTTGTCATTAGATCTTCCCACCCATGACTTCAAGCTCCTGAGCCTGCCCTTGTTCCAAAGTTGGGGGACGTCCTCTCAACGCCGGAATTCAGAACCTCTAGTAACATCCAGATATCACCCTCTCAGAATGCTAAAAGTATTTCTTACAACCTAGTAGTACAGCTATGGAAAAGAAGCCAGCTGGATTTCTGCACAAAGGTGGCTTTCATGACACTTTCAAGCATTAGAGCCATCTCTTGTAACGCTGCCAGCTTCTGGGGAACACAGACCAGGTGTAATTTGTATAAGAATAACAGGCATTTGCTCATGAATGACAACTGTTTTGGAACAGGATAGAAGTGATGGCTACAAGATACTGGGAATGTACGGAATACCGCTAAATTATATCCATCAAGATGTTTACTTTTATGTGGTTTTAAAAACAACAAAGAGGCCAGGCATGGCACATGTCTATAATCCCAGTACTTGGGAGGCTGAGGCAGGAGGGTCGCTACAGTTCAAGGCAGCTTGAACTACAGAGTGAGACCTTGTTTCAAAAAACAAAAAAATCCCAATCACAGCCGGGAATTTAGCTCAGTGGTTCTGCCACCTGCCTTGAAGTGCAAGGACCCAAGTTCAATCCCTGGTACCCAAAAAAAAAAAAAAAAAAAAAATTAAAAGGATAAAAGAGTTCTGCACTCTGAGTTTGCAGTCTGAAAAAGGCAAACGGTAACTGCAGTGTAAGCAAGACAAATACAACAGTTACATAAAGACTGGGAAAATAATTCCACTGTAAGTTTTCATAATAGCATTTGCTTTTGAAGTAGACTTTGTAGTAGCAGCAGCAAGATTTTCATGAAAGGAGTGTGGGAAGGGCTTTCTAGGCTGGTGAAGTAGCTCTTGGAAAGGTAGGGTAGTGCTCAGAAGCTATGTATGCAGGAAGTGGCAAGTAAATTTTTCTGTAAAGGTGAATTGTGGAGGTGGGGAGTAGGAGCAAAGTAGGGAAAGATGAGCCTGAAGCAAAACCTAACAGGCAGCGCTTCTGGCTGACGACGAGCTGAGCCTTGGGGAGGCAGCAGGTACTGGGTGCACACCCTCCTCACCTGGTCAGGACTCTAGTCCCCATCAGGAGTGACGGCTGTCAGCTTCTGAGGAAACTCCTGGGAGCAGCTCCTGTCAGTGATGCACAATGAGGGGACACAGGCGAGTGCCCCCTTGCCTAGATTCAGGACAAGTCTGCAGGGCCTCAGCTGGGGCAACACTGACGCCCCTCTTTCCTTACTGCCTTGTCTGTTTCCTTTGCACCCTCACTGGACTTGATCCCAAAAGGACCCTTCATTAAATCTCCTGCATGCTAAGCTCCATGTCTTTCTGAGAATCTCATCTAAAACAAGGACTTTGCGATCATAGTGTGGACAGGAGAGCAGGTAATACAAACGGAAATCGAGGCAGGTGCTGGGAAGTGAAGGGGCATAGTCTTCGCAGCAGAGATGCCCGTCCTTCCACTGCCCTCTGGCCATCAACCCCCCCTAACCCTTGGTCCTCTCCTCAGCCAGTCTCCCCAGCCCCCACTTGCTGCCACTCTTGCCTTGAGGCATCTTCCCCTGTATCATCTGCCCTGCTCACTCCTATACCCCGTGCTTGGCCAGTGGCTGCTCCATTCCAGCCTTTCTCAGCTTACCCATTTTTGTACAAACAATACTTTACTCATTAGAAGCTTACAATGATTCCAAAACGCCCTTTCAGAAAATGTGAAATCCACTGAGTTGCCAGGCATGATGGCACATCCCTATGATCCCAGCATTGAGGCAGGAAGATCACAAGTTCAAGGCAATTGGCAACTTAGGAGACTCTGTCCCAAGATAAAAAGAAAAGCTGAAAATGCAGCTTCATGTGAAGGCACTAAATTGAATATCCAGTACAACCAAAAAGAAAAAGCCACCAAATACTTTTCATATACCAATACATTTCAGCCACTTTTAAAATAGATACGGGTTGCTGGGCGTGGTGGTACATACCTGTAATCCCAGCACTCGGGAGGCTGAGGCAGGAGGATCACTGTGAGTTCGAGACCAGCCTGGGCTACATACATAGTGGGTTTCAGGTCAGTCTCTACTACATAGTGAGACCCTTTCTCAAAAA